TTAATCCCATCTTTCATAGTAGGAGATAACCTTCCCAGGTTCTAGGGATTTGACATGGTTATCTTTTGGAGGCCAATTTTCTTTTTTTTTTTTTTTCAAGAGCCACTGGCTGGCCTCCAGACAGTGTTACCAGGTCCTTTCTCGATTCCTGTTACGTCGGTATGGTCTGCAAAGCCAGATGGAGCTTGAAATAGAGGAGGCCATGACATAGGGTGCCATAGCCTACTCAACCTGATGGCCACTTAAGGGAAATCTGTGACATAGAAAGGGGGGCCTGGGTCAAGGCCACCTGAGGCCCCTGCTCTTGATGACAGAGCTGGAAAATCTCCTCTCTAAAATAGACCCTAGGGCTCAGGCTCACTGGGATGCCAGTAGGGACAGGGAACCTAGTCTAACACCTGTCCCCAAGGAATATGGGCCTTGGGCTTTACTCTTTTGTATCTCCTGTCCAGGCATCCCCTCCACTCAGGGTAGGAGAACAGAGAAGCCAGCCGGGAAGGCCAGGCCAGGAGCTGAGGAGCAGCCGCCTGCCCCCTCCCCAGGGGCAGCGACACGAAGCGTTCCTCTCTTCTGCTGCCTGCTTCCTGGGAAAACCAGGCATGGAAGCCTTGAAACAGTAGCACCGTAATATCAGTCATATTAGAAATCATGATAAATGTGAATCTGTCACATTCATCAAGTAAAAATACAGACACCTGCATTTTGTCGCTCCTCCCGCCCACCTCCCGGGCTGTGCCTTAGGTGTTGGGGGGCGGGGCGCACTCGTCCTGCTCTCCCGCCAGCCGGCCCGCCCCCACCCTCCCCTTCCCTGGCTGAGCTACTGCAGAGGGAGCACCAGGCTCACAGTGGGGAGGACTGAATACGAGTGGCTAGAGACCCTGAGAACAGAAACAAAGGGAGACTGAAGGGTTTGAAAAGCTCCTCCCAGACCAGCTTGTCTTGCTTCTGGAGGGAGCATCTCTTGAAGCAGAAGACTCTGAAATGCCCCCCCCCCCAACTCTGCAAAGCCTCGATTTGACCAACATACCACCTCCCCCAGCAGGAGGCAGAGGTTCGCCACCTGGTGTGAACTCATTGTTAAGTTCAAGTACACAAAAACGTACAAAGATGTGGAGAGAGTCCTCCAGGATGATCAGGCCACGGGCATATATGTCTCTGGGAGCTGCCTGTGAGCAGTGAGGGAGGAGGCCAGGCAGCAGCAGGTGACCCGAGGTTGCTTTGAGCTGACCAAGGAGCAGATGGGTGGACGCCAGCTGAGGCGATGAGGGTCCAGATGAATCATCACAGTGCGATTCTTTCACGGGGGCCAGGATCGCACTGACCCTGGGCATCCGAAGAAGGGTCATCAGGAGGCGGCAGCATCCCTGCTCCCGTCCTTCTCTTTCCAGATGCTGCTCTCTGGGACTCACTGATGGCTCCATGCCTTTGTCTGCTGCCCTGAACTTTCCCCCTCAAGATCTGACTCTGCATTGGGTCTTTTCTGGGAGGTGAAAGCAGTTCTTTTTTTTTTTTTTTTGGTGAAAGCAGTTCTTTTACACACATGCCGAAAGCTGTCTGAAATACAGGGGGAACCTTGCTGAACATTCTGCATTGAATGTTCTGCATTCTGCAGCATATGGCTTTACTGGAGATTTCTAGAATTCCAGGAGGATGCAGAGACTCTGTACCCTGGAACCCGGGAACACCGTTTCATATTCTTCTCTGGGTCATTTCGGAAAGGTTCTGCAGAATTATTTTGATTGACAGGTCTGTTGTTTAGATGTTTCCAAAATGGTAATACCCTTGGCAAAAGGGCAGGGTAGGGAAGTAAGGATCCAAGATGTGCTCATAATAAAACATAATGGATTAATATTTTTGTAGTTCTGTGTGCATCTGAATTTAATACTGTTTATTTTTTTATTATGTTCAGTTAGCCAGCATATTGAATTTAATACTGTTTTTAAAAAAGAAAGAGAGAGAAATGGTGTTACCCAAAGGGTATTTTTGGCAAGCTGGTACCGCTCCTCCCCGACCCACGCGGGTTTGTCACTTTCCTGGGGAAGGCGCGCTCCTGCGCTGGTGGCACCACGTGCCTCGTGGTGCTGTCACTTTTCCCGCGCACACACACACACAGAAACCAAGATTCCCAGAACTGTCCAGAGGGAGGAGGGTATGAAAGCACGAGAAGCTGTTGTGGTCGAGACAGTTCAGAGATGGCCGGCGGGCTGAGCTGGACGAGAGTGACCTGAAGCCCGGCCCCGCATCCTGGAGGAAGGGTGGCTTTAACAGTTTCCTTCATTAAAGGCTCTTGGTCTTCAGAGTTCTTTCAGGGTGATTGTTATTCTGGAAGGTTCCCAGGGTGGGGGGGGGTTGCTCTACACTATGATTGTATGTGCTCTGTTTACCCTAGCGGTACAAGAATCAAATTCTGATTTTTGAATTTGAATAAATATAAGAATGCTGGGGGAGGGGGAAGACACCTGTATTTTGTTAACAAAACGTGATGAAAAGTTGAGAATAAGGCGGTGGGTGAACATAGAGCAGGAGTTAAACGTGTCCGGTCGCTGTGTTGTACACCCGAAGCGATCGTAACCGGTGTGTTAACTGTGATTCAATTTGAAAGAAGCGCATATAATCTGGAGGCATTTCCACTTCAGATGATGGTGTGCCGAATCATTAGGATTAATCCTTTTGCTGAGAAGAACTGGAAAACTGATCAAAATATATATTTTTTTAATTTTTGCTTGAATGGGCGCCTGGGTGGTTCAGTTGGTTAAGAGTCTGCCTTCGGCTCAGGTCATGATCCCAGGGTCCTGAGATCAAGCCCCCGCATTGGGCTCCCTGCTCATCGGGAAGCCTGCTTCTCCCTCTCTCTCTGCCCCTCCCCCCCCCAATTCATGCTCTCTGTCTCGCTCTCAAATAAATAAGTAAATGAGATCTTTAAAAAAAAAAATGTCTGCTTGAACGAATTGAAAAGTAACAATATAGTAGAAACAAACAAACAAAAACCACTTCTGGGCTGTGATCTAAGCTAAGAAAGAGATCCGGAGACGCAAGCCTGGCATTTGGGATGGTCCAACACCTACGTCTCCAAACAGATGCTTCCTTGCCTTTCCTCTTCCATGTGTCCAACTGTTGTCTTCCCTTCCCATTCACCTCACTACCTTCACACTAACACCCTCCAACCTTAAATGGCCTCCCCCTCTCTGCGTACCCCCTCACTGTGCCTTTATCAAATGCTTCTTTATGGTGTTTGATGAGTTTTCATGATTCTGTTTTCCCAGGTAACCACCACCCAAAACAAGATGTAGCAAATTTATCTTTCTTTGTGCTGTTTGCTGGCAAAACCTCTTATACCTTACCCCAGGTGTAAACTCCATTTGGAATTATCTTACCAATAGTTTCATTTTGCCTGTTTTCTAACTTTTTATAAGTGGAATCATGCTCTTGGATGTCTGGCTTCTTTCATTTAGCATAATGTTTTCGAGGTTCACCTGTGTTATTGTGGGTGTCAGACGTTTGTCCATTTTTATTACTTTTTATTATTTCCTTAAATGAATATACCACAATTTCTTTGCCTAGTCACCTGTTGATGCACATTTGAATTGTTTCCAGCGTTGACCTCTTGGAATAAATTTGCTGTGAACAGGCATTCACAACTCTTTTGCCAACACGTGTTTTCATTCTTTTTTTAAATTTCTTTTTATTTATTTGACAGACAGAGATCACAAGTAGGCAGAGAGGCAGGCAGAGAGAGAGGAGGAAGCAGGCTCCCTACTGAGCAGAGAGCCCAATGAGGGGCTCGATCCCAGGACCCTGGGATCACGACCTGAGCCGAAGGCAGAGGCTTTAACCCACTGAGCCACCCAGGCGCCCCTTGTGTGTAAATATCTAGGCATAGACCCGCTGAGTTCTAGGGTGGATAGATGCTGAACTTCAGTAGAAACCGTCACTTACCTTCCCTCCAAGAGTGTCATAAGGGATTCAGCTGTTGTATGTCTTTGCCAACATTTGGCGTTGTCGGTATTTTTTGTGTTAGCCTTTCTCTGATGTGTTCGGTGGTTTTGATTTTTGTTTTGATTATTGTCGTTTTGATTTTCCTTTTCCTCATGACTGATGATGTTGGGGAACTTTTCATGTGCTTCCTAGCCATTCATAAATCTTTAGTGAACTGCTTATTTAAAATTTTGTTGCCAACTCATTCTTTCTAATCATTATTTGGTTCCATTGTCTGATTGAAATGAAACGCATCTAGTTGAATTCTCTCTTAATGAATATTTAAATTGTCTCAAATTTGTGTTTTTCTCTACCAGCCTGAAATGACTGTGTCTATAAACTTTTGTGTCCATGGGCGGTATTTTCTGCGTGTTGCCTTTTTTGCCAACTTTTGGGCACTTAATGGTAAGAAAGAGTGGGCAAGGACTTCCATATTTTCACCAAAAAAGAACTCAACTGTCTGGAACCATCCTGGAGCCGAGTCACAGGTGCCCTTATGACATCACATCCCTGTCTCTTCCTCCCCTCTTCCTGCCAGGCTGCGGCGGGGAGAGTACAGACCTGGGAGCAATGGAACCATCATGCTCCTATCATGGGGAATTTAGGGGATTATAGGCCTGAGGGACTTTGAACCATCCATATCCAAGTCATGGGCATTCAGTTTTGTGTAAGAGAGAGCCACCCAAAGTTGCAGGCAGGGGAAGGTGGATTTCCACAGTTAACTCAGGATACGAGTTCTACATCTAGGGACTCTGGGCCAGGCAGGAAGTCGAGTATGTGGTGGACTTGGCATGAAGTTGTACACAGTTCTAATGATAGCTTTCTCCTCTGAACTCTGATTACAGAAGAATGGCAATGTTTGTGAAATCATGATAGAAGATATTGAGGAAACCACTTTGAGGAAAGAGAAAGAGGAAGAGGAAGAGAAAGTGGAAGAAAAAGTGGAAGAGAAAGAGGAAGAGAATAAGAAGAAAAAGAAAAAGAAAGAGACTCCACCCCCACCTCCCCCACCCCCACCGCCACCCCCTCCACCTCCCCCACCACCACCACCAAAGGTAGGTCAATGGAGGCCCTCAAAGTTAAGGGTGACTCTTATTTTCAAGGAGTGTTGGTTTGTCTTCTCTGTGCCCCATAGCATGGCATGATCCTGGAATCCGTCACCTGGACCAGGTTCCATTTGTGAGTACAAGGTTGGGCTTTGAGTGATTCCTCAAGAACAATAAGCATAAGCCAGAATGTCCCAGGCCAATCGGGATGAACCGTTGCCCTACCCAGAGCCGGAATGGATAGGGCAAACATTCATCCTGATTGGCTTGGGACATTCTGCTTTATCTACTTGGTTATCCTCTCCTCCGAGTTCCTTCTTGGTCGGAGAAAGGTGGGTGACTGAGGCACAGAGACTTGGTAGTAAGGAGGGGAGCCCCTGACAAGTGGGACTCAGACCCTGCCAAGCTGGGGAGTGGGGCAGCGAGGCTGTGTTTGGAGAAGGCATTGACACATGCAGGGGAAGCCGAGTATAGAACTGTGTGGGAGTGCGCGTGTACACGTGTGCACGTATGCGTGCTGACGTTTAAGATGTGTGAACCCCACAAAGTGAAAGTGCGAGATAAATGAGAAGGACTTCACACTGCATGGAGCAGGGCAACTTGTAATTCTGTGACTTGATGGAGAGACACAGCAGGTTGTGGGTTAAGCTGGATGGAGTCAGGCATGAATGCAAACAAAGGCTGCCACTTCTCCAGCCACCTTGCTGGGGTGAAGGGAAGGTATACGCAGCCCAGGTAGGTGGCCAGGCCCAGGCCCAGGTGGAACGTGGTGCATGGCGTGCTTCTTCCAGACAGACCAACCGGGATAGCTAGTGCCAGAATGCCCCATTCTACAGCCCAGGAGCCTGAGCCTCGGGGGGGCAATCTGAGGTCCATTAAGAGAGAGGCGCAGAGACCAGACACCTATCTGGTCTACTGGCTCCCTGCCCAGTGCCCCTGAACTTCTGAGCGAGCCCTGCTTGGCCTGCCCTGGAGCTGAGGTAGGTGGGGAACGTTCCCTGAGGATCCCTTGTTTATCTTTGCCACCTCTCTCCCCAAAGAAGAAGAAGCATCCTGACCAAGAGCAGAAAGCCATAAAGATCCAGGCGTGGTGGCGGGGCACCCTGGTGCGCAGGACCTTGCTGCATGCGGCCCTCAGAGCATGTGTCATTCAGCACTGGTGGAAGCTGATGCTGGCAAGGCTGCTGGAGAAGAGAAAGCGAGCAGCCCTCGAGTCCTTCTCGCGGCGAGAATGGGCAGTGGTCCAGCTGCAGTCCTTGGTCCGCATGTGGCGCGTCCGCCAGCGTTACTGCCGTTTGCTCCACGCTGTCCGCATCATCCAGGTCTACTGGCGCTGGCATAACTGCCATTCCCGTGGCTTTTTCCAGGGCACCTACGACCTCACGGCATCACATCTGGGTCTTGAACTTGAGATTTTTTTTGGGCTCACAGATTTGTCGGATTACGGACTGCATCCCCTTCCCAATAAAGAACTGATCAGGTCTGCTCCAACTCTGCGTCACCGGGTCTCTTTCAGGCCCGCCCCAGGAGATCCATGTGTCAGCAGAGGGTCAGGGAAAATGGCCGCAGAGACTAGGCCTGGCACAGTCTGCTCCAAGGATGTGGCTGTGTTCCTCTGGGGTCCCTGGTGGAGAAGGATTCTAAGCCTCTGGTGCTAGAGGGCGGGGCCTGGAACCCATGAGCCTCCCCATCTGCCACGGGGAGGAGAGTTGGGGTCACAGGGCCACCCACTCAGCCAACTCCAGGGAGACTCCTTCACAGTTTGGTCCATGCACATGGTGCCCCCTGTGGCTGTGCCCCACGGAGGGTTCTTCATTCTTCACTGTCTTCCCATCACATTTAGAACAAGTCCAAAAGCCCTCCTGGGGTCTCCATAAGCCTGCGTGGTCCCGGCCTGGCCATATCCTCCTGGCCCCCTGCTCTTCAGATCGCCCCCGCACCTCCACATTCCCATCTCAGCACTTTGCACTTGCTGCCGCCTCTCCTTAGATAGCCTTTCCAGGTGGGGCAACCCTCTACTCATGTGTGTCTCTGCCCCATGCTCCCTCCTCAGGGAGACCTTCTTCATCTTACTGAAATGACTTCCCCACCTTGTACTGTATGTTCTAGTACCTGACCCTGCTCTCCTGCTTTCAAAGTCCTCATTGCTACCCAAGATTATCTTACATCATTTTCTGTTTTTTTATTGCCCCCAGTAGAGGGTGAGCTCCAGGAGAGCAAGACTCTGGGTTCAGTGCTGTTCCCGGAACCTAGGTCAGTAGTTCTCTCTTCTTATCCCTCTCTCCCATATATATATATATATATATATATATATATATATATACACACACACATAGATCTATACACATACACACATATATATATGGGACAAATAACATATATATATGTATACACACACACACACACACACACGCACATATATATGCTATTCTACATATCCTACATAATGAACCACTTTTTCATCCTTAAAAAAAATCCCTTTAGGGTTTGGGAGAGACTGCCAGCCAGTCCTTAGAGATAGCAAAGGACTCATCCCAGAGCATGATTTTCATCCGCAAAGGAACCAGTGCAGGGCCATACCTCCTCTTTCTTTGTCCTGTACACCCCAGGGGGCCATAGTCCTCTGCTTTAATCATCCTAAATCAGGTACCAAACATCTATATAACTTCGTGGCCACAGAAAATACTCAAACCAGCCAGTCCTACACTGTTTACCCTATCCTAACTTGCCTTTCCCACTCCAACAAAAGCCATGGGAAAAGCTGTTTTCTCAGTCTTGTCTTCTGCCGCTCGACCACACCTGATGCCTACCCCGTGACCCTGCATGACATGGGATGACATCCTCTTTCAGACGTTGGAGTATAACAGATTTTGTGTTCTTGTGCTTCTATTCTGTTGTGGTTGCACCTGACAGACCATCACATAAAAGGACACAGAACATGAATCTAATTTAAGTACAATTCACGTAACCATTTCTAGATTCACCACGTAACCTTAACCATTAACGTAAGACTAACAATTCAGTGGCATTTAGTACCTTTACGGTGTTAAGCAACGACTATCATCTGTACCAAGTTCTAAAACATTTTCACCATCCTAAATGAAAACCTTGTGCCCCTGAAGCGATCACTTGTCATCACCCTGTCCTCCAGCCAATGGCAACTAGCAGTCTGCAACCTGTCTCCATAGATTTCCCTATGGGGCACTTTCGGTATAAATGAAATCATAAAATATTTTGTGTTTGGTTTTATTTAACATGTTTCGGAGGCTCATCATGCTGTAGCAAGCATCAGTACTTCACTACTTTTTTTTAAAGATTTTATTTATTTATTTGACAGACAGAGATCACAGGAAGGCAGAGAGGCAGGCAGAGAGAGAGAGGAGGAAGCAGGCTCCCCGCCGAGCAGAGAGCCCGATGTGGGGCTCAATCCCAGGACCCCGAGATCACGACCTGAGCCGAAGGCAGAGGCTTTAACCCACTGAGCCACCCAGGCACCCCACTTCATTACTTAAAAGATTTATTATTTTAGAGAGAGGAACGGAGGGAGAGAATCTCAAGCAGATGCCCCTCTGAGCATGGAGCCCAGTGTGGGTCTGGATCTCACAACCATGAGATCATGATCTAAGCCAAAATCAAGAGTCGGATGCTTAACCTTACTGAGCAACCCAAATGCCCCATGTTCTTGGTTGCTTTTTTATTTGGCAGATTTTATTTATTTGACAGAGCAAGAGCACAAGGAAGTGGCAGGCAAAAGGAGAAGGAGAAGCAGGCTCCTGCTGAGCAAGGAGCCCAGCACAGGGCTCGATCCCAGGACCCTGGGATCATGACCTGAGCCGAAGGCAGAGGCTTAACCCACTGAACCACCCAGGTGCCCCTCTTTGTTACTTTTTATGGGTGATTGATATGTTTTGTCTGGCTATACCAGCTTTTATTTATCCACTAATCTTTTTATAGACATTTGGATTGGGTGCACCTTTTGGTTGCTGTGAATGATGCCACTACGAGTATTTAGCATTTACACCATTTTACATTCCCACCAACGATGTACAGGCTCCAATTTCCCTACACTCTTGCTGACACTTGTTATTGCCTTTTTTTCAAATTCTAGCCAACTTAGTGGGAAGTGGTACCTCACTGCAGTATGATTTGCATTTCCCTTGTGATGAATGATGTTAGGTATCTTCATGTGCTTTTTGGCCATTTGCACACCTTTGGAGGAAGGTCTGTTCAAGTTTTGAAAAGAGACTTTTCAAGTTGTGGCTTTCTTCTGTGGTTTCAGTAAATACTTATGTAATGAATGAGTACACAATCCTACCAGACCATGGATTTGTGGTTTCACTATGGTTCACACCCTACTTTCTAGAAACACGTGTCCCACCATCCCTGAATGAATTGCTTAGACAACCATCTTCGAACTGTCATGCCCAATAGACACATTATTCTAGGGCTTCTTGAGTTATTATCCCTCCCTGATAACGTTTCCATGTGTGTGAGTGTGTGTGTGTGTGTGTGTACCAGGTGGTGGAAGGAGGATCTACTGTTGTCTTTTCATTTCAGGTACAGATCCTTCCCTGTTGCTTTTCATCTGCCTATGTGTCTCTGTCTATCCGTCAAAATTTCATCTTTCGTTATATAATTATCTGTTTATGTTCCTCAGTATCTTTCTCCTTCAGTCCAGGCCTTCCCCTCTACACATTTCGTAATGTCATGTCTCCTTGTCTCTGTCTTTTCAATTCACTGGATTTTCTGGATCTGTATGTTTCTGGTAGAGATCATTAATAGTTAACCTGCCAATCCCCAGACACAGTTCTGTTCTTCTAGACCCTGCTTACTCCTTATCCCTAAGAACTCCACAAAGATGAGAGGGACAGGTCTCACGGAGGGCACCAATGTGGTTGCTCCTGGGTGATGGAGGCACTTACCTAACCCAGGCTCAGCCTAGGATATGTGCAAGTACTTAGAGGAATGTCAGAATATTTTATGCCTATGGTTCAGGGATGAGCGCATGGCACAAGTCAGGCCAGTGAGTCTCCATTCTGGTATGGTTTTGGAACTCTTAGGATTGCCAACTATAAAGATTATGAAACCAGAAATGCTACAGGCACCACATGGAAATAGCTGAGAATGGAGTTGACACAGAGGAAAGTAGATCCAACAGGTGCCAGGAGAGAAAGGAAGCTCTGAGGATTGCTTTGGGCCTCTGGATCCAGCCACACCTGAAGCTACCACTACCTATACTATGGAAATTCAGTTTTTGAGACAATCAACCTTCATTTTCACTTAAGTCAGTTTGCTGAGACAGATAGCAAAAGAATAGGAGATCTCAATAGATTAATAAACACTTAGATTGAATTTTATGTGAGCTGGTTTTCAGAAAGTGGTTTTCAAAAATTAGTTTTTTAATTAGAAACTTGGCAGAAGGTGTGCCTAGGGAATTCTTGACAGTAAGTGTGGAATTATCTCTCATTTAATGTGCCCAAAGGACCAAAGCATTCTTGTAATGCTGTGTAGTATGGTGAAATGGAAAAGTGTTGTGGATTAATGGGTAATTCTTCCAATTATCTAGAATCAGAATGACCAGAATATGAATCTAATCATGGATTGGTCTCCTATGAGCCAAATGTGGAGTCTTTAATTAACCTAGTTCAACAAGTCAGCAGGAGGGAGCCATGGGCAACCATCAGCCATTTATGAAACAACTGTATTAAGAATAAATAAAATTGTCCCATCCTTCCCTTGCCCTCTACTCAGCTTACACAAAGTAGACGTGTGGCAGCCTTCACTTCCAGGACAACCTCTGAGCTCTACCTCCTAAAAAAAGTAGGCAGTCGTCCCATGGACATCCTATTATATGTGTTGGACCTAGGAGAGAAATAGACCAATGCTTTTCAAACAATAGCATATGTTACAACCATGTAGAGGGCTCATTAGGACAGATCCCTGGGCCCCACCCAGCACTTCTGATTCAGTAGAGGGTCCCAAGAACGGGTATCCCTAATAAATTTCCAGGTGATGCTATGACTTCTGTTCTAGAGACCACTTTGAGCACCACTGGGGTGGAGCATAACTACGTGGTCACTGTGAATGCCAACACAACCAAAGTAACAAACTTCAAATAAATTGGAAGTTTATTTCTCTTTCCCAAAGAAGTTCAGAAATAGGTGCCCAGGCCCAGATGGAACTTCACAGGGGGAGGAATCCTGGCCCCTTCTAACTTGCTACTTGGCTATATATAATCTCTAGCCCAAGGTCACTTCATGATTTTGAATGGCTCCTGAGGTTTCTTTTGGTTACTGTTTTTTTTAAAGATTTTATTTATTTATTTGACAGGCAGAGATCACAGGTAGGCAGAGAGGCAAGCAGGGATGGGGGCCCTGAGATCCTGAGATCATGAGATCATGACCTGAGCTGAAGGCAGAGGCTTTACTCCCCTGAGCCACACAGGCACCCCTCTTTTTGTTATTGTTGTTTTGTTTTTTA